CACTTGGACTTAAGCTCATTTTCAGGACTTTACTTTGGTGGACAAATTCAGGTTTTTCTCAAACATTTGGAAGTTTGTTGCTGTATTGGGAGAAATATGTTGATGGTCAGATGTCAAAGTTACTAGCCTTCATTTAAATGTTTTTAACATAGAGACTTTTAATATGTGAAACACCATAAATACTGTGTTATCTCAAGTCAAAGAACAAAAGAAAAAGATAATGTCTAGTGTTAATCCTCCTTATATGTTATTAGTAAGAAATATAGAGATTGTTTATGAAACTGATAATGAATATAACAACAGCTGTTTTAATTGTAAATTGACCAATTGTATATTCTCAAAATGATGACTTCCTTTCATTCTGTGATGGTTTTGAGACAACCTCTCTACATGATGATGTTTGTAACAATTAATGAGTCCTAGTATGAAGATCAAGGGTTACAGATGTTGATAGAGGTAGAGAAATCTACATGTCAAGCCTCCACAACCTATGATCTAACCCCTGCAGAGGCTGGTAGTCAAAGACGGGTAAGAGAAGTGTAGAGAAATATCCAACCTAAGACAGAGCATGAGTATCAGAATTCTCATGGCTTGATGACGGGTAAGGGATTTCTCTGGACATTTCTCACCTAAGACAGGCACAGTCTTTCTGCTGAGCTGGGAAAGTCCCTGCTCTAAATATAATAAAAAGGGGGATATGTGGGAGCCCGGCCATGGCCCTCTAGGAGTTTGACATTTAAAAGGAAACTTCTTCACCTCTACACTCAAGGCATTGATACAATCTGTAACATTCTAGGACTCTGCTTGTTAAACTTGTTGCTGCAAGGGAAGAAACTCAAGGAGACAGCCAAAGATTTGATGTTCTTTGCAAAGAGTCAGACAATCCGGTCTTTGCATAAAAGATACAAATAGTTGCTTGGTGCTTCCTGTTGATGTGAACCTATAAAAGGAGCTGTTTCTGTGAAATAAATCAGACTTCTCTTCGTCTCCACTCAGGCTTGAGTGTTCTTTCCTTTCTCAATCCTCACTCCCCGACTCAGGCATGTTCGTGTTGTGACGGCTGGACCGCCACAGTAGTGTCCTTCTTTGTCTCTCGTAATCAGTGTTGGTTTGAAATCCATGTGATCTGCAAAGAGGATAGCTACTATTGCTTTTTTTTAGTGGGGGAGGTCCTGTCTCATGGAGTATTGTTTTCCACCCTTTAACTTTCAGTCTATGAGTTTCTTTTTGAATTAAGTGTGTTTCTTATATGCAGCATATTGCTGGATCTTGCTCTTTGACCCATTCTGCCAGCCTATTTCTTTTGATTGGTGACTTTAGATCATTAACATTGATGGTTATAAGTGATATATATTGACTTATCCTTGTTGTGACCTTTTCTTTTTGTTGGATTCTCCCCCTTTGCATTTAATTTCTTGTCATCCCTCATGAATTCATTCTGCTGGGATTCCTAGGGTTGCGATCCTCATTGTCTTTTCTTAGGATATTGTTTAAAATTTTCTGGAGTGCTGGTTTGGTATTCATGAAGTCCCTAAGGTGCTCTTTGTCATGAAAGTGTCTTATTTATCCATCGATGTTGAAAAATAGTTTTTCAAGGTACATCAATCTCGGTTGGAGATTGTTGTCCTTTAGGACCTAAAATACATTACTCCAAGCTCTTCTTGCCTTGAGGGTTTATGTTGGGAAGTCTGCTATGATTCTAATGAGCTTTCCTTTGTATGTGATTCGTTTCTTTTCTCTAACTGCTTGTAGAATTTTGTTCTTCTGTTGGGTTTTTGGAATCTTATCTATTATATGCCTAGTTGTAGAATTTTTCTGATTATGACTAGTTGGACTCCTATATGCCTCACTTACATGCATGTCAAGTTCTTTCCCCTGCTTGGGAAGCTTTCTGCTATTACTTCCGTGAACAAATTTTTAATGTCATTTGCACTGTCTCCTGTTCCTTCGACTCTGATCAGTCTTATGTCATTCTTTGCATCATCTAGCAGCTGCTGAATTGATTTCTCATGGTTCCTTACTATTTTTAAGTAACTATTTTTCCTGATCACTAATCGCAGAACTGTGCACTATAACTGAATCCTCACATTGGCTCATTCTGCTGTGTAAACTTTCAATGGAGTTTTTAATCTCCTGGAAATCTGCTTGCATCTCTTTTATCTATTCCATTTATTTCCTGTTGTCCCAGTGGGGTTCTGGCTAGGGTGTAAGCACACTTGGGGTGGTACCTAGGCATGCCTCTGGCTATGGCCTGCCCTATTACATAGCTGTTGTCTGGTAGCACCTTTGGCTGGGGGCTGATCACCCCAGTCCCTGGTTTCTGCCTGGGCTTCTGGCTAGGTTCTGTGAGCACTTACCAATGATATTGGGGCAAGCCTTTGGCTGTTGCTTGTGCATCTGTGCAGCTCTTTTCCAGGCAGCTTTTTGGCTGGGGCTTGTAGGCACAAACAGCTGAGGTTGGGGTGGGGATCTGGTTGGAAGTGGCTGTAGCCACACCGATCTGGTCCACATCAGCTTCTCACTGGGATCTGCTAGCACTTACCCCATTATTTTCATTTTAATAACTTTGTGTCTGGCTGCACACATTTTGTGTGTGTGTGTGTGTGTGTGAGTGTGTGTGTTTGCTACTTAGGGTTATGTGAACTTCTTTACATGAAAACCCACTTCACAAACTTTGAAATCAGCCATATTTTCTCAAATCTCATGTAAAATTTCACAGGATGATACTACTTCTATTTTACTGGTAAAAAAAATCAGAAGTGTAAGACAAGTGAGACTTGCGGACCATTGTGTCAGCATCAGACACATTGTGTGTACTAAAATTCCATGTTTTCAGGTTTATTTACCTATATCCCATACATTTGGTTTATAACAATTGTAATTATAGAGTCTTTTATTTAGTTAATTTCTGGTATGAGATTAGCTTCATTCTAAATTTTTTCAGCTAAATTCTGTTTTGTTTTGTTTCATTTTGTTTTTTGGTATTGGGGATCCAACTCAGGACCTTGCACTTGTAATGCTTACGCAGCACAACTGAACTACATCCCCAGCCATCAATTGTTTTTTTAAGTCCACAATAGAACTTTAGATAACTAGTATTTCATACTATCCTCAGTTATGTTTTTCCAGCAACCACAAATTCTCTGTCTATTCCTAAGGCTCAAGAAGAACCATGTTTTCATGATTTTTTTCCAATACTGGGATTGAGTCTAGTGCCTTTGGGCTGAGCTGCATTCCCAGCCTTTTTTAAAAGTTTGAGTCTCAGTCACTAAATTGTCCATGGTGACCTTAAACCTGCTGTCCTCCAGTCTCAGCCTCCCTCAGTGCTGGGAATACAGCAGCACCCCTACACCTGCCTCATAATAACAGTTAATACACCATCCTTAATTCCATTTCCAGGTGCTGATATGTCTTCCTTTGAATCAAAGAGCAACAAATAATTTAGAAAGTGTTTGCTTTGTTGTGTTAGGTAATAGGAAATTGTTTTCATAAAAATGCTGTGAAACATACACTGTATACCCCTTGCATTCAAGCAGTCCATGGGTATATTAGGAAGACCAGCTCTTTCACAAATTGCAGTAGAATGTTACTTATTAATTTCATCTTTAAAGCTTGTATGGACACAGCCCAAGCAAAGAAAAGAAAAGTTGGGTCAGGTTTTTATCTCAGTGGTGCTGAAAAAAAAAGAAGAAGGAGAGGAAAAAGATGATAACAAAGAGAAAGGTGGAGGAGGAGAAGAGAGTTCACCATGGTTAACCAGCCCAGTCATGAGTTCCAATGTACACAGCAGCAAAAGCACCATATGGCAGAAAAAACTTTTAAAACTTGGGCATTCATTTGTCTCTATCACTTCTAAGATTTTGTTCTTTGAGCCTTTAAAATATCATTCACAATTTTCAAAATGACCTCATCAGATGTCACATTGCTTGAAATGTGTATTCTGTCCAACAACCTATATTGAATGGTTCCATTGTAAGAAACTACCAGCTAAATTCTTCATTTAAGTAAACATAGAGTCAGATCATTTTGTTGCTGTTTGATGATAAAACAACAACAATAATAATAATAATAATACCATTGGTAGAGTCCAGTGCTCTAAAAAATAATGTCTACAAACAGGCCAACAATTTTTTCAGACATAATTAATTTATTCTCCTTCAAAAGAGGTGAAATCTCATTTTTAAAGCTGAGTAAATATAGAAAGTTATGAAAGGCTATTTAATGTATGAAGCAATCATTTTCTCAAAATTTATAGTTTCACTTTTATTCCCTCTACATAGTCATTGTGTATATATCAAAATATGTTTTATGATATTTTGAACTCTATTATCATCCATATGCCTTTAGTGTGCTAAAATTATACATTGTATGCCTTTCTTTCTTCAGATATAGTGATCTCACCATAGTGCATCAATTATATAAAAGCTTTTTCTGTGGATGGACTTTTTGGGGATTTTCAAGTAGTCATGGAAAGCTCTTTTGCTATTATTTAGGTTGGGTTTATGAACTAATGAATAGCAAAAAATGTTCTATATGTTTCCTACTCTAAAGAGCAAATATATCTGTAAAACTAACCTACAAATGGAAATCCCAGAAAAAAATGTGAATGCACTAATTATTTGGATAAAATTGACCAAATTGTGGTTCTGATCCCTACAAGAAGAACACTGGCAGTGAAATACCACTCTCACAATAATAGATTTAAAGCCATATTTGAGGGGGCAGAGCAGAAGGTGAGAATGCTGTGACACTGAATCTTTCCATGTCCTCTATGTCAGCAGAGGGCTGAGGTCACCCGGATTGTTGTCTGACCAGGAATCCTGATGTATTTTAGATACTTGGACTCTACTTTTCTTTCCATGCAGGATAGAAGAACGAATATTTCTTTCAAATTTATTTACAGAAAAGATCAAGACAACAGTCTCCGTGCATTTTTCTGTCCTCCTGACTGTGAAGACATCCACTCAGTTGTCCATCTCTGTGAATCAGTACAAATGGACTCACTTGCATAACTGCATCAGAAGGAGGACACTTTGAGCAGCTTGGATCTCAGGTGGAGTTTTGTAGAGGAGCTTGGCCTGCTGCAGGTGGAGAACCCGCTGGTGGTGCTTGTGGAGAACAAATACCAGGTAGACACTGGCTCCACCCATGGTGCACTGAAACACAGCATCACGCAGGACCATGAGAGTGAGAAAGGTCCATCTTGTTGTCCAGCTTTCTGGGAGAAAATGACAATACTTGTCACCTTTACTAATTTGTGATATGTTCACACTGTTGATGTTTATGATAGAAAATGGTAAGTTCATGCTTATTAAGGAATTGAGAATCCAAAAGAAGACAAATATGAGAAGGGTGTGCTGTGGAGTCTTTAGCTTGAGTCTCCTCCACACTGAGTCTGTGGGACTGATGGTGATGGCCTGGACCACCGTGAGGAGAGCGCTGGTGCAGATGGACAGGCCCCGGGCCACTCGCTCCAGGTAAACAACAATCTTACAGCCTGTGTCATCAAGGAAGATTTTCTGCCCAAAAGCTGCTAATGTCTTAGGAATCCGTTTTGCAAAAAGCATGATGATATTTGTAAAAGCCAAGTGGAGGAGAATAAAGTGTATAGATTTCTTCTCACTGCCTCCAAGGATGAGCATGTAATTCACAAACACAAAGACGTTCCCCAGAATGCCAAGTACAGTTGGAGAGAGGAAGATTGTTCCCTTGACAAGGTTCACAACCATTTCTTCCTCATACACAGGATACGTTGGGTCCAATAAAGCACAAGTAATGATTATCTGTATCTGTGAAAAACAGATCATACCCTAGAAGTTCACTGAAGTATAGAGGACAGACACAGTGTGTGTAATGATCCTGATATTTGGGACACTATCCCCTTTTTTCTGGCAATCTCTGTGGTTGACTCTAAGTACCCTCAAATGTCATCTGGATGACCAGTGTTCAAACATCTAAATTTTCTACACAAATATTATTCTTATCTACCAGCAACACCATTGTGCTTGTTAAAATCACTATATATCTCATCCATGTTAAAGGTCAGTGTGGATTAATTGAACCCTGAATCCTCGTGGCCAGGGAGGGTACCATGCAGGAGCCATTGTATGATTGTCTAATAAAGAGTCAGGAGAGGTCTGAGTTCCCTGTGAGTGACCTCAGGGACCACTATGGGAAGCCTGGATTCATCCTGGATGGGTTGATATCTATTGAGGTGAGCTAAGATTGGGAACCACTGGGTGTGACGTGTGCCATGACAGAAGAGCAGCTTAAGAATTAGGGTCCCCAGTAATGGCTGCATGTAGCAAAATGGGTTGGGGAATCATAGTTATAAAAAAAGAAGTCAAATAGAAGATCACAGGTGAATTTTCCAGCTATTGCATGACCATGGGAGAAACAATAATTTGTTGCCTGTGTGAAGTGGGTGATTTTTCCCTCCAGATAACAGTAGTGCTGCATTATGCTTTATCACCCAAGATGATTTCATGGCTCAGGCTTGAACAACATTTGACTCTTTTACATCTAAATGTTCCAATCCTATTTCTTACAAAGCAATTTTTGGAAAGGTTCTTGAAAAAGAAAGAACCCAGAATTTCTGATCTAATTCCAGGATTTGCTTGTGAGATGCTTACAGTAGCTGTAATACATTTCTATATACTCCCCCTCTGGTTTCTACTAAGTAGTAAAAGATTTACTTTGAATTCACTGTCCTGAAGTTGTATGGCAGCATGAACTCTGTAACACAGTTTGTACTGAGGTTTTGCACCAGGCAGCCTCATGACAAAATAAGTTATTGCTTTCAGGCATTCTTTTTCCTCAAAGACAAAAGCCTGCAACAGTGCATCAAGGAAAGATACACAACCCATAGTGTCTAGCACACTGCACTACACTACAAGTTTTCATAATAAGCAGAAGCATATTAACTAAGAAGTCTCAAATACAAACAGGATGAATATTTAGTCAGAGATGTGGACCTGTTAAAAATAATTGCAATGAAAATACCTCAAAGTGATGATGGACTTACCAGGTCTTTTGATGGACTTATCAAATGATTCCTGGGGTTTTTTCTTATACCTTCTCAGGGATTCTCATTTGTCTGCAGTCCTCTCTTTACCTTTCTAAAATTACAAAACTCAGAATCAGATCTGGGATCTATCCTTGAGACACCTAAGCAGTCATTTACTTTTATTTCTTAGAAAATGGAATGAAAAATGGCAGAGCAGCCACTCTCAACTTGTCCTGGGAACAGACAGCACAAAGCATTACAATAAACAGGCTTTCTCCTCAGGTGGATACTTGGGGCCCTGTCCAGAGGTAAACCCAGAGGTGAGGCAGGGAAGCACACACACTCTGAGCTGAGCTTTCTCAACTCAAATGATATGAATTATACTAGTGCAAGCACCACGAGAAAATGAAAGTAAGTAACGTTAGTTTGTACTAACTCAAATCCTCACAAACTCATAGTAGGAATTTTCCAGGAGGAACTCTACTTTTTTGAAAAATGTTAAAGAGACCCCTCCCATCAAACAATCATATTATACATGCATTAGTATGGAGAAATTTTAAGAAATATGAACCAAAAAACCTTCATAATCAACACAAAAGTTTAAAAAGAGTCAGCAACAGACAAGACAAAGCAGGGCCACTTTAGAAATACAGAAATGCATCTAAAAGGAGGTGAACACATTTTCTGAAAACTAAAAATGCTGGCAGAGTAAGAATACTGTTAAAATTGAAGGTTGAGGAAAGCAGTTTTCCTTAATAATCTGAAAAGCCCCTCAATTTTCCTAATATCTGGAAGAGTGCAAGGTGAGAGCCAAGCGGAGTCCATCCCAGAGCTCTTTGGTGACACAGAGCTGTGCCAGGATTTCTGGAGTCACATGCCCACAACTGGTCTCCTTGGACTCTCTGGCCTTTTCAAAATCAAAAGAAGAGGGCCGGGGATTTAGCTCAGTGGTCCCGGTGCCCGCCTTGCAAGCACAAAGTCCTGAGTTCTAAGCCTGGTACCAAAAAATCAAAAGAAGAGTGAAAGTGCTAAGGCACTTAGACCCTCTCATCAAATCCCTTGCTGAGTCACAGACATTAAGAAGTATTTTTCAGAGGGAAATGTACCTGGTACAGGTGAGCTGATCAGGTGGACTCTCCCAGCAGCTGTGGTTCAGACAAGCTCTGTTGGTCATGCGGGCAAGGTGCGGGTCTCCAAGTTGTATTTGTACCTTCAGGATTGCAGAGCTCTTTGCTACCACACAGTGTCACCAAGACTTTCATGTTCGGAGCCGTCACCCTTTCAGGGGGAAGGAAGTCCTCTACAGAACTCCATCTCCCTGCTGTACAAATTGCCTCTCCCTTCACAATTACTCTGTTTGGCTCAGAAGTTCTCTCAGGCTTAATTAGGTTTAATTATTTTAATAGGAGGAAGTAAGAATGAACAACCAGTGAAGTTTTCAAGTCTAGAGTTTGCCCCTTCTGTGGGGCTCTCTGCGCAGTTCCAAGCTGGGACTCAGACTGGGACCAAGTTCTGAGACACAGAATGAACCCCTGCCCTTTCCTGGTCAAGGTCCTTGTTCAAACACAGGGACACAGGAAGCAGTCACCAGCTCTGGGACTCGGATGCCTGGGTCAGTTCCAACTGTGGATCAGCACAGAACAGCGGTCACCCTGCTCTTCCTGCTAACAGTGGCCACTCTGAGATGTGGTCATCAGTTTCCTTTATCCCTTGTCCATTAAACAGGAAATGGGAGTGAAACCTAGTTAGGCAAACACTCCTTTCAAAAATCTAGTCCTGTGGTATTCAGCTTCAAGGACACTTTTACATTTGAATCACACAGGGATGGTTCTTCTTCTATCTATTGCTCATTCTACTGCCTCAGAACACACTTCTAGTCCCCTATGCAAAGGAATGTAAATAAATGAGATCAGAGATACAAATGGCACCATTTGTCCAGAAGCAGGAGCAGCTCAGGACTGGGGGCAAGGCTCTCGGTCACAGGTTTCCCTTCATTGGCTATGTGATGTGTCATTATCTGCAGGTGCAGTCACCACAAGATAGAAGCTACATTTCTTGTGCCATAAGTGAAGGAATAACTTTTTGGTATGACTGTAATTCCCATTCCCTGAGGCTGAGCATGAAAATCTGCACTCAGGGGTTTTGAGAAACTTGTACATGGCAGATGGTGGGGTAAATAGAAATGGAAAGATAGTTAGAATTAATGTCCCCTGGTGCAACAAGGAGTGCTGTCCTCTGTCACTTTCCGTAGAGTATGTTGATTAGCAGACTTCAGTTTCTTTTCCTGCTACTCTGAGAAGCACAGGCTCCTTTGCAGCACCTGTGTGTCCCCCTTGTGAATTCACAACCCAGGAATACTGTGCCAAGGCCCATAGCCCCCTCTGGATCTGCAGCCATGAAGGAAGACAGTGCCTGAACCCCTGATTCAGAGTCGGAGCCCAGCTTCTCTGGTGCTCTGCCCCAAGGGGTGCAGTTCTCCCCTGTAAAACAACACCAGACCCTAATAGATCCTCTGATTGAGGAAAATCGGCTGACCTCGACAGTCACCAAATCCCTACACAACTCAGGATGAGCTCTGTGTGTTAAACGGATTATCAAGTCCTCCTACCTGAGGGTGAGCTGTCATTTCTCTTCAAAAAGTTCATTTCATGGGCTCCACCTGAGTGGCTGTAAAGACGCATCTTCCCCATTGCCAGTCTCTTTAGTGCATCTTGTGTGACAAGTGTCCCATTCTGTTTAAGGCTTTTTTCAATAATAACATTATCTTCCTCTTTTAGTAGAGGTTTTGTCGGTCAGCAAGCAACTGTAAGTACCTTTGCTCAATGCACAGATATTAAAAACCGTGATTCAGATTTGAACCTGGTGAATCTGACCAAAGAGCGCAACCCCCCTCATCACCCACTGTGTCCCGTGCTGCTAAGCTCAGGTGTCCTTCGGGGTCTGTCTGTCCATCTGTCCTGGAAAGCTGGGCCTCTCATCTCTGTGTGTCTCGTAGCTCTCAGTGAATTCATAATCGCCCCCAGTGGAGGAGTGGAGCACAGTAACAAGGGTAACACGTCTTTCCAAATCCCATCTCTCTGGGAGTAGACTGGTCACCATCACCTTCCTACAGGAGTCTCTGGGATGGGAACGTGTACCTCCCCGAGCCATTCCTAGTTCTCACTCCACCTTTTTCCCTATTTTCCTAGGGTGACTTTGCACATGTAAAGAAGACACTGAAAATTAGTTATTGGATCTTTCCAATACCCTGTGGTGCTCCTTTGACACAGAAGAAAATGCAGTTTCCAAACTGTCCTGTACATGGCCTGAAATTGTTTCCCAACTGATAGGCTGTTACAATTGAAGCATCTTCTCCCAGCCATTTAATAAATTTAAAAATTGGGCAGTAGTCATAGTATCTGGACTTTGATTTGTTTGACTTTTTGATGGTCTAAGTACCTTGACTGTAGGCAAAGACGGTAGATTCCTAAGACTGCAAATGTTAGTTACTATGGGATCAAACATATCTTTTTATAAATATTTCCCCCTAGCCTCTCTCCTAACTTTTTGTAAGACAGTTACAACACAGTGCCCATTAAAAGGCTCTCTATAATGTTAAATGTGAATGTTCGCTGTGATGGAATGACCAAGCTCCATGACTTGCCATAACTGTGCACCTTCCCCTTTTGCAGTAATTACCACACGCTCTGTATTCATTTCAGCTTTTTCCATTTTCCGGTTATG